GAGAGCTGGCAGCAACCTTGATATTTAGGTTGCCCTAACAACTTCCACTATAAATACAGCTTGTGGCCTTTTCTTGAAAAACTGACACCCCTCCAGAGTTCACAGCAGCGAGCAGCCCTTGGAAATGCGGCTTAGGTTACAGATATACCTTTTGCTTGTCCTACGTCCCTCCTTTCAGATATGGCTGAGTGTAGGCCCTATCAGAGGGAGCTCCAGGAGAGCCATTTGGCCCAGGCCTCAGGAGACAAAGGGACCTCAAATTTTGACATTTTTCTACTAAATCATTTCCATTTATTATACACCTTGCAGTTATAATAGGGTATGTCTACACTAGCCCCCTAGTTCGAACTAGGGAGGCTAATGTAGGCATTCGAAGTTGCAAATGAAGCCCGGGATTTAAATATCCCGGGCTTCATTTGCATCTTCCCGGGCACCGCCATTTTTAAAAGTCCCTTAGTCCGAACTCCGTGCCCGCGGCTACATGCGGCACAGAGTAAGTAGTTCGACTTAGGATCTCTAATTCGAACTACCGTTACTCTTCGTGGAACGAGGTGTACCGGTAGTTCGAATTAGAGATCCTAATTCGAACTACCTACTCCGTGCCGTGTGTATCTGCGGGCATGAAGTTCAGACTAAGGGACTTTTAAAAATGTCAGCGCCCGGGAAGATGCAAATGAAGCCCGGGATATTTAAATCCCGGGCTTCATTTGCAACTTCGAATGCCTACATTAGCCTCCCTAGTTCGAACTAGGGGGCTAGTGTAGACATACCCATAGAGACAACAAAAGAAGCTCTATTCGCCTGCAAAAAAATGATTTAAATCATTGGGGGATCTCGGGCCTTCACCAGTTTTTCTGTCATATCTGAGTTTTCATCTGTGTGACTGGAGACTGGAGTAGCTTCTTGATTAGTGATTCTGCATTATGAAATGCAGTTTACAGTCTTTGCATAGTTTAGCGGTTTTGAAAGTTGTAATTAATTCTGTTACTGTAAAGTGACTTTTCTTAGTCTGTGGGTGAGTTTAATCTTTAAATTAGATGTTTATCTCTGCATTGGAAATTTTCATATTCCTCTTTTTTCTTATGTCTCTTCATATACAATAACCAGGGCTCGACAAATCATGTAATCTACTCGCCCATGGCGAGCAGATTACAAGCTGGCACAGCTGGCGCCGTGCGATCTGCGCATGCACAGCTTGCAGAACCATGCAGCTGGTGAGCGGGGCTTACCGCCACTTGGTGAGCCCTAACAATAACCATATCAAATTCAGTTGTAAGCTACCTCTTCGTCCAGTTTTAGATTCACCTTTAAAGGCTTTTTTGTGATAATAAACTTTTAATTCTAGTTGTTTAATAAACTTTATAGCTAATCTGACAATCACCCCATGTTCATATTCATAATAATGCAAGACTTTGAAATAAGGCTATAAGAGCCATAGTATATAACAACCCCAAACTGTTATTATATAATATTCATTGTGAAGTATATACAATTAAAATTTTGTATAACCAATAGGTTCTAGTGAATTAATTTATTGTATGTTACTGTGTTTTAAAAGAATCGCTATATAAAAATGAAGCAAAATTTGAAAGTGGTGCAAGTAAGAGATGGTGAAAGCTACAGACTGAAGCAGCAATTTAGAGTTTAAAGCCAATAACATCATTTCTCATAGAAAAGATGCCTCAGCCATTAGACAGTGACCATACAGACACAATTAATTTATTGTATGTTACTGTGTTTTAAAAGAATCGCTATATAAAAATGAAGCAAAATTTGAAAGTGGTGCAAGTAAGAGATGGTGAAAGCTACAGACTGAAGCAGCAATTTAGAGTTTAAAGCCAATAACATCATTTCTCATAGAAAAGATGCCTCAGCCATTAGACAGTGACCATACAGACACTGACACTTCCAGTTCTAATTATGAAAACTTTGTACCCACAAATGACATTTCAATGCCACTGCCTCAAAATGAGAAGGTCATTAATCAAGACACAGAAATGCCAACAGTAATGATAAATGCAGAATCTACACTCGATTTAGAGACTGTGCAGGCAGAAAATGAGGACCTCGGAGATGCTACGCAGCAAGAACAAGAACCTATGACTAGCACAGGTCACAGTGTAATAACAGTGGCATCAGAACCTGATATTGGACTTCTTGAAAAGAACAGTGTTGCTCAAATGCAGTCATTTCTCAAAGTCAGTTATCAGATTCCAAATAATATACCAAAAGATGCTGAAAATCATGCTTTTCCCACTCATCTGCTGACAAAAACTCTTCCAAATGGAGAGATCTACACAAGAGATTGGTTTTGCTGGAGCACGGAAAAGCAGGCTCTGTACTGTGTACCTTGTTTCATTTTTAACAGTAATATTTCAAATGTATCAGTACTGTCTGATCCATCCAGTTGGAGCATCAACAGAGGTTGGAGGAAGTTGAAAGACTGAATACCTGCACATGAAACTTCAGTATTGGATAAAGATAACTATATTACATGTAGATCAGCTAGTAGAGCAGCACTAGCTGACAGTGCATTTGAAAACTTACTCCTGAGTGAAATAAATATAGAAACTGATAACTGGAAAAAACTCCTTGAGCACATTTTGAATGTCATTCTTTTTCTTTCGTAATGGGGATTGGCTTTGTTTGGTTCTAGTCAATGTATTGGTGACCCTACAAATGGAAATTTTCTTGGTATACTTGGTATATTCAGTATACTCAGCAAGTATGACCCACTTTTATCAGGCCGTGTTAAGCATGTTTGTGGATCACAAGAGAGCGTAAAGTGCATGCAAGTCCATTATCTATCTACCAGAATACAAAACGAGTTTATTGAGCTGTGTGAGACATTTGTGCAAACAGCTCTTGAAGAGATATGGCATGCAAAGTACTTTTCAATTATTATTGATGCAACTCCAGACTGTTCTCATAAAGAACAGACAACCTTGGTTGTTCAATATGTTAAAATTGCAGGAAGTTCAAAGGTTTCAATTGAAAAATTATTCATTTTGTTTGATAATTTTGTGAAAACAATTGGAAAAGAAATTGCTGCTCATGCATTATAAATTCTGGAAGGCTTCAAATTGAATTTTCAAGTCTGCATTGGCCAAGCCTATGACAATCGATCCAATATGGCTGGGAAGTACAACAGAGTACAAGCAGTCCTTCTTGAGCAAAATCCAAACTATTTTCTCCACTTGTGGCAACCACATACTAAATCTTGTGGTGTTGGTTGTGCTGAATCATGCAAGGAAGCAATCACATACTTTGGAACAATCCAGCAATTGTGCAACCTCTTAGCAGTCCTCGAAAGTGGGAAATTCTGAAGTAGCATCTGCCTGTTTCCCTTCATGGCATGTCGACAACGAGATAGTCAGCATGAATTGTTGACATTAAACCAGTTGCACAGCATTTGGACTCTGTGAGAAAGGCTTTAAGTGAGCTTGAATCTCTTACTTTCGCAGCATAGGCTTTCACTGAGCTTAAGTTAATTCAGAAGTATACATCCAAATTTGAATGTATTTTAATGTCGTCCATGTGGATGAAGCTGCTAAAAATGATCCATGAAACTAATCTTGTAATTTAAGCACACAATGCTACACATCTAGACTACGTTCTAATTTCAAAAGAGGATATTCAAATTCTGCGGGAATTTGCATATCTTCTTTCGATCGCTTTTTTAAAAGCGAGGTCTTTCAAAAGTGAAAGTAGTCTGGATGCATTTTCTTGGGGACAAAAAACCTCTTGAAAAACCGCGTAAACCTTTTTTTAGGAGCAATTTGCATATCCTCTTTCAAAATTAGAATGTAGTCTAGACATGCCCTATGATGTTCAGAGTGATAATACTGAATGACTTCTTCAAGATATTCAAAAGATTTGTGATCAATGGGACACAAACCTTTCTGAGTCCAAATGGGTAGCACAAGATATTGACATTTCATCTGAGTTTTCCACCAATCTCAGCCTAACATCTCAGTCTGATGCAGGAAGGCACTATCGAGTCAATTTTTTTCTGTTATTGCTGACTCCATCAAAACTGGTCTTACATATTGAGTTGAATCACTGCAACAAATTTGGATCCTTTTTAGATTCTTTTGGGAGGTCAGAGAACTTCTGCAGCAGCCCTGGGCACTTGAGCAGCAGCACATAGAGAGCAGACACAAGGCGACGGCCATCCTGCTGACAGTGAGCCCGCCAGCCTGTGGGAGGGGAGCCACGCTTGTGCCCAGGCCCGCCCCGCGCAGCTGCAGCCAGGCACCACCCACCCTCCTCCAGGTGGGGGAAACAGAGAGCGCAGCGCAGACGTGCTAGAAGCTCGTCAGGCCCTCCCTGAAGCGGAACTAACCCAGTTGTAATGGGAGGTGGGGGTGGGCAGAGACACTTAGGGGAACTGATGCTCCTGGAGTAAAAATCAATTTATATAAGATGCGGACATGTATACCCCGCGGGAATGGGGGGAAGGGTTTGTAAAAACATGTATAATTCGCAGGTTATATTCTCTAATTCACGGTAAGTGATGAAGATCTATATTCAGAGGCTGAATAGTTTCAACAAAGGTACAACAACGAAATTTCAAGAGATCTCTGTGATGAGATCATCTTCCTGAAACATATAGGCTTTCAGTGCCTAACACAGAAACTTAAGAACAGACTCCGATCTCTGTCAGACACGTGTAAATCTGGCGTTATTCCACTGAAGTTAGTGGAGTTTGATTTTCACAGGTGTAGCAGAGATCAGAATCTAGCCCTTAAGTGTTTCAGCCAAAAGTTTGACAGCAAGTATATAGCCTAAAATTCAATTAATATTAACATTAAGAATCAGAAATACTAATGGCTGAATAAGCTCTGCAAGAATGCAACTCTGCGGGGCAGGGGAGCATCGGTATGTTAAACCTGATTATTAGGCTACTGGGTCATCTCCTCAGGGACTCTGTGTGTGATGGAATGGTGAAGCCTAAATTATGGAAGAAACATTAAACTCCTTTCAGATGTATTCAGTACCTGCTCCATGAAATCCTCCGCAGAGATATAGCTTCCCTTCCACTGAGCCTGCGCTAGTGGAGTTGGTTCGTAAGCCGAGGCGAGGAGAAGGCATAGGAGGCCCGTCTCTCCAAAAATCCCCGTCAGGGTTATAAATCTCCACTGCATCGAGACATTTCCGTGCCTGTCCCCTGTCTCGTCCCAAGCAGCCAATTCCTCCTGCGGAGAAATAAATGTACAGATACACAGGGCACGAAGACAAAATATCGCAGCACTAGAGTGACACTGAAACTGTCTGCTTCCTAGTCCTTATCATAGAATCATAGAATAATAGGACTGGAAGGGACCTCGAGAGGTCATCGAGTCCAGCCCCCCGCCCTCAAGGCAGGATCAAGCTCCGTCTACACCATCCCTGACAGATGTCTATCTAACCTGTTCTTAAATATCTCCAGAGAGGGAGATTCCACCACCTCCCTTGGCAATTTATTCCAATATTTGACCACCCTGACAGTTAGGAATTTTTTCCTAATGTCCAATCTAAACCTCCCCTGCTGCACTTTAAGCCCATTACTCCTTGTCCTGTCCTCAGAAACCAAGAGGAACAAATTTTCTCCTTCCTCCTTGTGACACCCTTTTAGATATTTGAAAACCGCTATCATGTCCCCCCTTAATCTTCTTTTTTCCAAACTAAACAAGCCCAGTTCATGAAGCCTGGCTTCATAGGTCATGTTCTCTAGACCTTTAATCATTCTTGTTGCTCTTCTCTGTACCCTTTCCAATTTCTCCACATCTTTCTTGAAATGTGGTGCCCAGAACTGGACACAGTACTCCAGCTGAGGCCTAACTAGTGCAGAGTAGAGCGGCAGAATGACTTCACGAGTTTTGCTTACAACACACCTGTTGATACAACCTAGAATCATATTTGCTTTTTTTGCAACAGCATCACACTGTTGACTCATATTCAACTTGTGGTCCACTATGACCCCTAGATCCCTTTCTGCCATGCTCCTTCCTAGACAGTCGCTTCCCATCTTGTATGTATGGAACTGATTGTTCCTTCCTAAGTGGAGCACTTTGCATTTCTCTTTATTAAACCTCATCCTGTTTACCTCTGACCATTTCTCTAACTTGCTAAGGTCATTTTGAATTATGTCCCTATCCTCCAAAGAAGTTGCAACCCCACCCAGTTTGGTATCATCTGCAAACTTAATAAGCGTACTCTCTATCCCAATATCTACATCATTGATGAAGATATTGAACAGTACGGGTCCCAAAACAGACCCTTGAGGAACTCCACTTGTTATCCCTTTCCAGCAGGATTTAGAACCGTTAACAACAACTCTCTGACTACGGTTATCCAGCCAATTATGCACCCACCTTATCGTGGCCCTATCTAAGTTATATTTGCCTAGTTTATCAATAAGAATATCATGCGAGACCGTATCAAATGCCTTACTAAAGTCTAGGTATATGACATCCACCGCTTCTCCCTTATCCACAAGGCTCGTTATCTTATCAAAGAAAGCTATCAGATTAGTTTGGCATGACTTGTTCTTCACAAACCCATGCTGGCTATTCCCTATCACTTTATTACTTTCCAAGTGTTTGCATACGATTTCCTTAATTACCTGCTCCATTATCTTCCCTGGGACAGACGTTAAACTGACCGGTCTATAATTTCCTGGGTTGTTCTTATTCCCCTTTTTATAGATGGGCACAATATTTGCCCTTTTCCAGTCTTCTGGAATCTCCCCTGTCTTCCATGATTTTTCAAAGATCATAGCTAAAGGCTCAGGTACCTCCTCTATCAGCTCCTTGAGTATCCTGGGATGCATTTCATCAGGACCTGGTGACTTGCTGACATCTAACTTTCCTACGTGATTTTTAACTTGTTCTTTGTGTATCCTATCTTCTAAACTTACCCTCTCTCTGCTTGTATTCACTACGTTAGGCACACCTCCAGACTTCTCGGTGAAGACCGAAACAAAGAAGTCATTGAGCATCTCCGCCATTTCCAAGTTCCCTGTTACTGCTTCTCCCTCTTCGCTAAGCAGTGGGCTGGGGTTCTTTTTTTGTTTTACATGAATTGCTGCCAGTTTTTCTCCGAACAGGTTTTCTCTCCATCTCCAGAAGCTTGTTCATAAGAGGCTTTCTACCTAAAAGCCACTGCACCTTTGCTAAAGGGCTCACTGCTGCCCCAAAGGAGCCCCATTCCAATCTACATATGGCAGGCAGGACAAGAGGCACTTTTGCAAAATGCCAAGGTACTCAACCTGTTTTTGTTTTAAATTGCACAGTAGAATCTGACTGTACTTATTGTTGTTTTTGTAGTGGACAGATCATATGATCACTGATATACAGATAAAAAATTACTTTCCAAAAGTAATTTGGTGGCAGTAGGTTTGTCTGTCATTCTCACTAATCAAAAGGCATTTGGATTTTTTGAAAGATAAGAAAGAATTTCATCCCTTTGTAAGTGCAAACTGGCTGCAGATAAAATAACCATCCAGATTGCAGGACTGTCAGTTAAAGACAGTTAATAGTTGTCTGGCCTATCTCTCTAGTACTAAGATGCTTGGTAAAGCTTGCTGTCTACTCATGAGATGGTGGTGTTGATTTCTGTATGTATCTGATTCTACAAATTCATCCCTTTATAGCTCTGGATATAGTGACCATTCAGTTGTAAGTCAAAACAAAACATGTCCAAATTGATCCTGATGGGATACCACTGTATTTCAGTGAAATGAACAGCAAGTATCATGTACACATTGGACCTACCTAGTCCAGCACCCTCAGGAGCTGACCAGTCTTGAAACAGGGAGTTTTCCAGACAAGCGGAAACTAATGCCGACCCCTCTCCTCTGGACTTTGGACTCTGGGCTCTGCTCCCAGCAGCTGGTCCCGGCTGCCAAGGCTCCACTTGTAGCCATCTGGCTCTGCTCCCGGCCGCTGGGCTTCAGTCCTCTGCCCCCTGGCCCAACTGCCAAGCTCCAGCCCCCAGCTCAATGGCCCAATCACCAGGCTCCGGCCCTCAACCACTGAGCTTCAACCCCAGCCGCTGGGCTCCACTCCTGGCTGCTGGGTTCTGGGCTCCTGACTGCCAGACTTTGGCCCCACGCCTCAGCGATCAGGCTCCAGCCCCTGGCCACTGAGTTCCAACCCCAGTGGCTGGCCCCCAACCCAATGGCTCTGCTCCCAACTGCTAGCTCTCTGATCCAGCAACATCCATGGCCCTGCTGCTCCTGTTTTACCTTGTAAATGCTGCAATCCCTGAGCACCCACATGGTTTCTGACATTGGATGAGAGATGTTATGTCGTGGGGAATTTCACAGCATAGGAATAAATCAGTGGAAAGGCAGAGAGCTGGAGTATTTGCTAGTGTCCATTTTATTGCATAGCACAGAACTCACTAAAACAAGCCCAGACTAGCTGGGCTGACCCCAGTGACCTACTCAGTTACCATAACAACAAGATCTATATCTACAACCCCAATATACAACAAGAGAGTCCCAAACTAGAGAGGTTCAACCTGTACATCAATGTGCAAGTTTTCAGATAGATACTTAACAATAGAGATATTTCATATACATTTTGTTACTTGTACCGTCCACCAGCGGATCTCAAATTACTGTATATAATTTACATATGCTAACTGAGTAAGCTTCAGAACACCTTTGAGAGGCAGATGTTACAAAATCAATTCTATAAATGGGGAAACAGACGCAAAAATTAAGTGGTTTGTCCAAGGTCACATAACCAGTGTCAGATTCAAGATTAGAATCCAGTTTTCTTGAATCTCAGTCTGTGTAGGTTCAGTGGGTAAGTATGTGGGATTTTAAATTCCTTTCAAATTCCATTCCTCAGGCCACGTTCCAAGTGGAAACACATAATGCATTGTGAGGACAGTAGCAGCAGTAGAATTTTAATTCTTATTTTCCTTTTGAGTTAAGACAAGTCCTACCCATTGATACTTAATTATGGTGACTGGATTCTGTTTTTAGAATGGCTGGGCCATCAAAAAACTGCTCCCAGTTTTCATTTCTTGGAACATATTGCAACACCGATATCTCAACACCCTCATTCCGTCTTCAGAGAGCAATGTTTGCATACTTCAAGGGTATGGGAGGTAATATCTCTAAATACTTCCCAGTGAGTAGCAAGCTCTGAGTTTTGAAATCTCAAAGATTAATATGCTGATGCACCCCCAGCAGGTTCTGCATCTGTGCCAGGGGATACAATACCCTATAATGAGCACTGATGGCATCTCCATGAGAAAGCAGCTCTTTTGTATGTGTGTGTGTGTGTGTGTGTGCCCACTTTTAAATATAAAATGACTGCAGCATTCATGCAATTTCCACATTCAGATTTCCAAAGGGTCTTCAAATACACATGCCCATTTAGGACCCCATAAGTGTATGAGACCAAAATGGATGCTTATGCAGTTAATTACTCATTTACACGAAGAGAGTATGACTGCAAATATTGTTAGTGCAGTTTTGAGGAGGGGACTTTTGAAACTTTGCCCTTAAAGTGGCATCATTTAAAATGGCTAGTCCATGAAAGGAGCTTACAGTTCGTAATGTTTTAAATATGGAGGTTTTCTTATCTGCCTCTTCATTGGGATTTTTAACCTTTTTTGCACTCTCTAAAGGCATTTGTGAGGGGCTTTGTAAAGGCGATGGATGTAATGCTCAAGTCATATCCTCGCTATTCCTGAACAGTATTTTAGAGCAACCAAAGAGGTGACCACCACCCATCCCACTTTTACCTTGAATTCACAGCAGTGAACTGTTACAACAGTTTAACTTTGGGAGCCTAGGGCCTGATCCAAAGTTCAGCATAGCTGATGAGAATTCTCCCATTTACTTTAATGTGCCTGGAATCCTTACTAATTATTTATTAATTATTATTATTATTTAATAATAATAATTTGTATTACATAGCACTTAGAAGCTCTAGTCATGTCCTACACACAAAGTCAGTGCTGTGTATATAACCCTGATCAAAAGGATTTCATGGTCCTATCCCTCACCATCATGGGTCAGAGGCTCAAACCGGACATGCATCTGGGAGCTGTGGTGCTTTCAGGCTGCTGAAGATGCTCATTTCTATCTTACCTGAACTGAATGGGGTAAGTGAGCAGTTGATTCAGTGTTTGACTGGAGCTGGAACTTGGTTTAGGGCAAGATGGCTGAAGTAGTGTTGCCAGATGGTTTCAA